GCCCAGATTCTTCAATTAACATCACTAAAAACCTCCCAGTTTGCATTTCCACTATTCTGCCCATCCTGCAAGCCCAAACTTGACAAATTTATTGTTTTGCTTGAACGGGTGAACACTTTGGAAACATGCCTTGCATCCCTTGAAGAAAAGGAAAAAATGCAGAAAAGTGAAGGACCAGTATCCCAGAATCATGACACAGCCCAACAACCCAAGCTGCTGGAAACCACTAACCCTGCAAGTAACATTTCCATCCTTGTTAAAGACATGATTAAACATGAACAGAAGTATCCCAATACTATCTTATTTGGATTTGAGGACACCAAAGAATCTGACGACATTGCAAAGGTTCGCAACATCATCAGTAACTTCCAGGCATCAACCGTCACTCCTGATGAAATCATTGATGTTTCCCGCGACAGCAGAACAGTGATGGCTTGGTGGCCCCACGTTTCTGCAGAGTCATTTGCAAGAGTGAAATCAGCAAACACAAATTCATTTCCACAATAAACTTGCTCGCCAAAAGTAGCACTAACCATAGGAAAATTTGTTTGTGGCCTGACCTGTCCATACTGCAATGTGCCCGCGCCTGTGAGCTCAGCTCAGAGCTCAAACAATACCAGGACCAAGGAGAAATTAATCTGTACATAGACTACCACACCGACTGTATCAAATGCAGGACAGTGGCCCACATCCCAACAGCTGCCCCCCCAACAATCAAAACTAGGCATGCATACCCCAACTTCCTTCAGGTCCACCCCTACTGGCCTAAAATGCAAATTACTAAATGCAAGAAGCCTTGAATGCAAAATGCCCAAATCCCTTCTGCTTCTAAATGCGGCCCTATTCAAACTTATTTTTGTCTGTGAGACATGGTTGAATGTATCCTTTCCAGACTCCATTATTACAGTAAGTGACTATCATCTGACCATGATAATCGTAGAGGGGGTGCTGCTGCTATCTTCTATAAGAAGTCCCTAGGTCTAAAAAAGATACATAGGAGCTTGCTCTTCCTGAGACCATTGTCTGCGAACTGTCCCTAAATACCACACTTGCTAAGTTATGGAGCCCCTAATTACAACCTTGGTCATACAAACAAGCAAACTGCACTTCTAATGCTTCCTGCCCACACCCCCTTATTTTTCTTGGTGACCTCAATTTGCTTCTTATTACCTGGACCCTAAATGAATGTACAACCGAACCTATACATGTAACCCTGCACAATGGTGTTACAACTCTGAGGCAGGAGCAGTTGGTAACAAACAATACTAGACTCAACAATTGTTTAGATATCATTTTCTGCAATAGCTTACACTTAATTTATGGCCTACAAGTTAAAGAACCTTTTTCCAACAGTGATCACAGCATGATTGATTTTTGTCTCAACTTGGGTCCTTGCAAAGAGGATCATAATGATGGGACTCCAAATTATAACTATAAAAAATCCAACTATGATCTCATAACTGCTGACCTCACATCTCTTGATTGGCACCTCCTTTTCACAAGTTTTATTTATTGTTACCATTATTGTTACCTTTATTGTACAATGTGTACAATGAGATTGGCTGAACCTCCCTTCGTGCACCCCCATCAATAGAACTCACAGTGAGGACAGAAGTCCCTAATCCAGTCCCAATCTTATTACACTATATGATCTTGTTGTACAATGTGCTGGCCCCGCAAGTCTGTCATGCTATGTTGACATGAAGTTATTTTCCATTCAGAAGTCTGACAGCCCACGGGTGGAGACTGTTCTTCAGCCTGTTGATGTGGCTGGCAATGTTTCTATATCTCCTACCTGATGGTAGGAGAGTGAAGAAGTGCTGACCCGGATGTGAGTCATCTCTGAGAATTTTCCTCACTCTTTTAAAGCAGCGAGCCCTAGCGATGTCATCTAGTGGTCTCAGGGAACAATGTTTCGTGCTGTGCTCACCACCCTCTGTAATGTCTTTCTATCCATGGCTGTCAAGCCAGCATACCACAACGTAATGCAATATGTGAGGACGCTTTCTATTGTGGACTGGTAAAAGGAGGTCATCAGTCATTGTTCCACTTTATTCTTTTGCAAGATTCTAAGAAAATGGAGTCTGTTGGGCCTTTCTGGCCGCCTGGATTGTGTTGATTTTCCAGGTGAGATCTTCACTTAGGTAGACTCCCAGGAATTTAAAGGAGGAAACTCTCCCCACACAGCCCCCCTCGATGTAAAGTGGGGTGGGTTCCTCTCTCTTCTTCTGGAAGTCTAACACCATCTCCTTTGTCTTGCTGATGTTTAGGTGCAGGTTGTTTTCTAGGCACCATGAGGATAATTTTTGAACCTCCCCCATACGCTATTTCATCTCCACCTGTAATGAAACCCAATACAGTAGCATCATCTGTGAACTTAATGATCACAGTGGATGGGTCAGACAATACACAGTCATGTTTGTACAGTGAGTACAGGTAGGGACTGAACACACAGCCCTGTGGGGAACCAATGCTAAGCTTCAGGGAGGTGGATGTGACAGATTGTAATACTGCAGAAGACCATTATAACACGTTTTTGCTCGAAGTCAATAGAGTCATTAATCTATACATATCAAAAATAACCCCTAAAGCCAAAAATAAAAAAAATTACCCATATCAATAAGAAAGCTACAATCCAAGAAAAAGTCTCTTTGGCGAGCAAACAAAACTGGCTATGTAGCTAACTTTAAAAACTGGTACAAAACCTTATGCTGCCAGATAAAAGCCAAATGTACCATCATCATTGCAAACAGGAGGAACAGTTATTAAACTCGAACTCTTCCCGAGCCTTCTATAATTTCGTTAATGCCAAATGTAAAGACTCAAAATCTATCCCACCCCTAAAAGGGCCTAACGGGGAAGACTGTAATGATGAAGCTACAAAGGCCAACCCCTTTAATACATTCTTCAGTTCAGTCTTTGTTGACAGCAATGGCTGCTGCCCCCATTTCCTAGTCGCACCACAACAAATTGTAATGACTTATTACATATTGACTTTGCAGCAGTTAACATTGAAACAGCACTACATAGCCTAAAGTCATCCCTATCTATTGGCCCTGATGGATTATGTGCCTACTTTTTGAAAAAGCTTGTCACTGCCCTAGCCGAACCTCTAAGCACAATCTATGAGGTATCTTTTTAGAGCCAGCTCCCTGCTGGACTTATGGTCATTAGCCAAGGTCATACCTATTTTTAAAAAGGGAGACCCTAGTCTAATAGAAAATTACAGACCAATCTCACTGTGTTGCATCACCTGTAAAGTCATGGAATCAATTATAAACCGATCCATCACTCTACATTAGAAACAAAAACCTACTTTCTAACAAGCAGTTGGGTTTCAGGAAAAATGTGTCCTGTAATCTTCTAGGAGTTCTATACTGCAGAAACATGTGGACCACACATCTAGACCAGGGTAAAGCAATAGACACAATTTACATAGACTTCTGCAAAGCCTTTGATTCAGTGGTGCATGACAAACTACTGCTGAAACTTAGTTCTTACAGCAGGTAACAAATGGTCAAAATAGGGAAGGCCCTATCAAATCTAGCACTAGTTAATAGTGGTGCTCCCGAGGCAGTTTCTTAGGACCCACACTCTTTCTGCTTTACATCAATGTGACAACATTAAAATCAGCTGTGTCCTCTTCGCTGATGGTGTAAAATTATTTAACACCACCAACAATGCTGCTGCTTTACAAAGCAACCTTGACTGAATGGTCATGCAATTGGCAACTCCAAATTTCAACTAATAAATGTTCTGTCCTACACATTGGCCCGCAAAAAAACAGAACACCAAATACAAGTTAGGCAGAAGTAATCTCGCAGACTACCCTCACTCTGTCAAGGACCTACAAGTACTTATCTCAAACGATCTAAACCCCAGAGCTCACTGTAACAGCATTGCCAAAAAGGCTTTAAGAATTGTTTACCTTATTTTGCAAAGCTTCTTCTCCGGCAACAATGAATTGTTAACTAGGGCACACAAAACCTTTGCTGGACCAATTCTCAAATACAGCTCATCTGCCTGGAACCTGCACTGTATATTGGACATTAACATAATTGAGTGGATTCAGAGGTATTTGAATTGACTCCTCCACTCACAATAGAATTCCCTATGCCTCCATGCTCAAAGTTTTGGGCCTGGATAATCTGCACTTGCGGTCCAATCTAAGCATAGTTCACAAAATTGTCTGCTATAGCATCTTGCCTGTCAATGACTTCTTCAGCTTCAACCACAATAATACATGGGCAAACAATCGATACAAACTCAAGGTAAACCACTTCAAACTTGATTGCAGAAGATATGACTTCAGCAACAGAGTGGTCAATGCCTAGAATGCTCTACCCGGCTCTGTTGTTACAGCCTCGAACCCTCACAGATTCAATCGCATACTCTACTGTTGACCTCACCCCATTTCTAAGAGGTCCATAAATGGGGTGTACATACATGCATCAGCATGCCTACCGTCCCTGTCTTACTGTCCCCATTTATCTGTATTTGCTTCCATTGTTCATGTTTATGTTCATACCTATACTTATTATCTTGTACATGTTTGACAAATAAAATAAGTACATATGAATCACTTGCCAAATGTCTGACCATGGAGATAGTGCAATGGTCATAAGTGTGAAAAATGGTCATAAGTCAATTTTTTCAGTGCCATTGTAACTTTGAATGGTAACTAAGTGAACTGTTGTAAGTCGAGAACTACCTGTAGTTGTCTAATTCGCTACTAAGTGGAAAAGTAGCAAAAAAAATAGGCAGTTTGAAATATAATATAATTTTGTTATTTGAGGGTCTAGTCAGGATTGGAGAAATAGACTGATTTACATAATTGTCTAGTTATAACACAGGAGCTGTTCTTTTGTCTTTATTCTTGAATTCTGAAAAGGGGAGAAAAGATTGATGTTTGCATTCTGCAAAGAATTGCTGCTAGCTTGATCTTTTCCTCATGTAGTTATGATGAAATGATTACTTTCTTTTTACTGTGTTCAATATAGGTAGTCCTTCCAGTCTTTATTTTAGAGAAGAGGTCTCTGCTGGAGATGTTTGCAAACTTCTTGGCCCATCCAGACCTGTTTTTATCAATTTCGTGTGGAACCACTCCTGAGGAAAGAATCATCTCCTTTGTGGAGTACTATTTGACAGCCTTTCATGAAGGCCGAAAAGGAGTTGTTGCCAAGAAGCCTTATAATCCAATCATCGGAGAAACATTTCATTGTTCTTGGAATGTGCCAAAGGACAGAGTAAAACCAGTGAGAGCAAACACTGCCTCTTGTGGTCTCAAAGGGAAAGCTTCATCAGAAGGTTATAGGCTAAGATTTGTAGCTGAACAAGTGTCCCATCATCCACCCGTAACCAGTTTTTACTGCGAGTGCAAAGAGAGGAAAGTATGTGTGAATGTTCACGTATGGACCAAAAGCAAATTCATGGGGATGTCTGTAGGTGTTTCTATGGTAGGTGAAGGTAAGAAGTGTCACAAACAGATTACATTTTATATAGCATGCTTATTTATTAAAAAGACATAAAGGAAAACCTGAAGATTTCTTATTATTCCCCCTTCCATACAATTTATTTAGAATAAAAGAAGCAAAACATCCAGCCTCCAAACACAAAAATTAATAGAAATGCTATTTAGATAAGAGTTGAGTGGGAATATATTGAATGTATAGTCAGAAAAGGGAAAAATGGATAAGTATTGATTTGTGCTTTGTTTTGTCAGTGAATAAGATGTACAGTTTGTGTTAATATTCAATTCTAAAAAAATGTGTAGATATATGTAAAACATTATAGAGAATGGAGTAACAGAATTGGAAGGGACCTTGGAGTCTGGTTCAACCCCCTGCTCAAACAGGAGAGCTTATACTAATTGTTCCGAACTGTTCTGGCTGCTGTAGAAAGTGATGGCAACGGGGGGCGGGGGGGGGGGGGGGGAATGGTTTCGTATGTGCAGCCTAGCTCCTGCTTATATGCAAATGAAGCTTCCCATATTTGCATACTGCTTGTGCGGCCCAGTTTTCAATGGACTGAAGACTGGTACCGGTCCATAGCCCAGACAAATGGTTATCCAATTTGGCTTAAAAACCTCCAGTGATGGAGCATTAACAACTCCACTAATGAATTGCTCTAACTTCCAGGAAATTTCTCCTTATTTCTAGGTTGGATCTCTCCTTGACGTAGTTTGCATCCATTGCTTCTATCCTTGCCATCTTCTCCTATTAGTGACTGATTGTTTCCTTGGTTTTTTTTTCTTGCTTTTTACATGTTGAAAAGGACTTCCTGTATTATTTTTTACATTGGTTGCAAGCCTTAGTTCCATCTGAGCCTTAGCTTTCTTGACCTCATCATAGCAGGTGTGGGCTGTATACTGATATTCTGCCTTAATTATGTGCTTCTCTTACTACTTTTTACACTTTTTTTTGGTCTTTTAGTTTATCAGAGAATCCTTTGTGCAGCCAAGCTGGTTTTATTCTTCTTCATTGATGATGTGTTGGACTGGCCTTTTATAACCTCACTTTTCAAAATTTCCCATGAGGATTGTTTTCCTCTTGAGGATTTTCATTCACGGAATCCCTCCCAAACACTCTCTAAGTTTATTAAAATCAGCTCTCTTGAAGTCTGAGACTCTAGTTTGACTTTGTTTTATTGCTTGAGCTTGCATTATGCTGATTTCTGATATTGCATGGTCATTCTCACTTAAGGTTCCTATAACTTCGACTGCTTCTATCATTTCATCTCTGTTACTGAAAATTAAGTCCAGTGTGGCTGACCTTCTAGTTCCTTCTCTGCCTTTTGGGAGACAAGTTGTCTGCTAGGTTCGTTGGGAACCTATTTGATATTTCATTAGCTGTAGAGTTGATGTTTCCCAGTTGATGTCAGGGTAGTTGAGGTATCTTTTGTACACATTGTGGCTAACTGATTAGCTAATATTTCATCTATTTCCTCTGTTTGGTTAGGTGTTTTGTAGCATGCACCTATGGCAATGTCATTCCTTTTTCCTTTTAAGTTAATCCAAATGCATTCAAGAAGTTTTCATCATTCTGTTGCATTTCTATAAAGGTGTATTGTAATTATTTCTTATATGTAGTGCACCTCCTCTTATATTCCTCTTCTTCTGTGTCTAGATCAAACTTTAAAAAGTCATTTTTGGCGCATATTTTTAGTAGTAGCTGACACACCAGCAGATGGGTTAGGCTCCATGTCTCTCCAAATTAACATAGCATTGTTATCTGCTAAGAATCTCCACATAGATAACATTGTTATCTTCTCAGAATGTCCACTTAGCATGTTGATTTTACATTTAGGCACTCCAATTTTCAATCTATTCAGGGTCCTCCAAGTAGTATGAGTAATTTCATTTATAGTTTGCAAAGGGGAGAAGATGAAATTTTCTAATACCTCACAGAAGGATAGTCTTTAAATATCGAGCAGTACCTTCTGAGATTAATTAGCCCTATAGAATTGATAGTATCTCTAATTTGTTAAATTGATTCTAATATTCAAGATATCTCTTTTGAATTTCCCATTGTAAGGATGTGCAAGCTGATGCTCTTTAGATATTTATATAAATTGCCCATCCCTGTCCTATGTCATGTATGATATTACATCCTAATAATGGATATTCATATGATTATAAAATGTTATTCAACCATAATAGACAAAATTCCAAAGCTGTCATATTACAGTCCCTTGATTTCTGCAAATCCATGTAACCACCATTTATTGTAGTAGTGTGATTGAATGGTTAGCCCAATAGCTAAAGTTGAATCAACAAAACCTCAATTGCAAAAATTCATTATCATTACCTGCACCAGTCTTTTCCTTCTTGAAAGAAGTTAGAAGGAAGATTAATATTTCATCTTTCTCAAACTGTTTTGTTTAAGCATACATTTTAACAATGATCATGCTTCTCCAAATTTCTGAATGCTAATCTCTTCTTATCCATAGGCATTCTTTATCTCTTGGAACATGGGGAAGAATATATATTCACATTACCTTGTGCCTATGCGCGTTCTATACTTACTATTCCTTGGATGGAGCTTGGAGGCAAAGTTAATATTCACTGTGCCAAGAGTGGTTATTCTGCTACAGTCACATTCCACACCAAGCCATTTTATGGAGGAAAACTACACAGGTATCAAAACTAAGTTTTGCTCTCTCCTTGAATTAAACTATTAAAATAGTAAGGCACAAAATATAGATTGGTCTATTGTTTATTGCTTACAATTCTGCAATTGTGATTTTTTAAATATACACTGCTCAAAAATATAAAGGGAACACGTAAACAACACAATGGAACTCCAAGTCAATCACACTTCTGTGAAATCAAACTGTCCATTTAGGTAGCAACACTGATTGACAATCAATTTCACATGCTGTTGTGCAAATGGAATGGACAACAGGTGGAAAGCATAGGCAGTTAGCAAGACATCCCCAATAAAGGAGTGGTTTTGCAGGTTTTGCACAGACCACTTCTCAGTTCCTATGCTTTCTGCTGATGGTGGTCACTTTTGAATGCTGGCGGTGCTTTCACTCTAGTGGTAGCATAAGATAGAGTCTACAACCCACACAAGTGGCTCAGGTAGTGCAGCTCATCCAGGATGGCACATCAATGCGAGCTGTGGCAAGAAGGTTTGCTGTGTCTGTCAGCGTAGTGTCCAGAGCATGGAGGTGCCTCCAGGAGACAGGCCAGTACATCCGGAGATGTGGAGGAGGCCGTAGGAGGGCAACAACCCAGCATCAGGACCGCTACCTCCGCCTTTGTGCAAGGAGGGACAGGAGAAACACTGCCAGAGCCCTGCAAAATGGCCTCCAGCAAGCCACAAATGTGCATGTGGCTGCTCAAACGGTCAGAAACAGAGTCCATGAGGGTGGTATGAGGGCCCGACGTCCATAGGTGGGGGTTCTTACAGCCCAACATCGTGCAGGATGTTTGGCATTTGCCAGAGAATACCAAGATTGGCAAATTCACCACTGGTGCCCTGTGCTCTTCACAGATGAAAGCAGGTTCACACTGAGCACATGTGACAGACGTGACAGGGTCTGGAGACGCTGTGGAGAACATTCTGCTGCCTGCAACATCCTCCAGCATGACCAGTTTGGCAGTGGGTCAGTAATGGTGTGGGGTGGCATTTCTTTAGGGGGCCGCACAGCCCTCCATGTGCTCGCCAGAGGTAGCCTGACTGCCATTAGGTACTGAGATCAGATCCTCAGACCCCTTGTGAGACCATATGCTGGTGCGGTTGGCCCTGGGTTCCTCCTAATGCAAGACAATGCTAGACCTCATGTGGCTGGAGTGTGTCAGCAGTTCCTGCAAGACAAAGGCATTGATGCTATGGATTGGCCCGCCTGTTCCCCAGACCTGAATCCAATTGAGCACATCTCGGACCTCATGTCTCGCGCCATCCACCAATGCCATGTTGCACCCAGACTGTCCAGGAGTTGGTGGATGCTTTAGTCCAGGTGTGGGAGGAGATCCATCAGGAGACCACCCGCCACCTCATCAGGAGCATGCCCAGGTGTTGTAGGGAGGTCATACAGGCATGTGGAGGCCACACACACTACTAAGCCTCATTTTGACTTGTTTTAAGGACATTACATCAAAGTTAGATCAACCTGTAGTGTTCTTTTCCACTTTAATTTTGAGTGTAACTCCAAATCCAGACCTCCATGGGTTGCTAAATTTGATTTCCCTTGATAATTTTTGTGTGATTTTGTTGTCAGCACATTCAACTATGCAATGAACAAAGTATTTAATAAGAATATTTCATTCATTCAGATCTAGGATGTCTTATTTTTGTGTTCCCTTTATTTTTTTGAGCAGTGTATTAAAAACTTTTTTTATATATAAATGTGCATGGATGTGAAGTAAAGACACAACTGAACCAGAATACTGTGAAGTGTGAAACTCATTGTTCTGTTTTCCATTGCATTAGATCACTATGTACTCAATATTTTGGAATGAAGAATTGTTTCTGTTTTTTTATTTAAGTTAAATCATACTTAACTTATATTAAGAATGCTGTCTACTTCAAAAGTATATGTGGCATATATTTTTAAAAAGTAAAATCATAATAAGCAACTATGCTCACCTCTCTGAATGTTTTATGGTGAAGTATTTAGGTATATTCAAATGTCAGTAACCTTAAATCTTTATTATTTATACCAGGGTTACAGCAGAGGTGAAGCACAATCCAACCAATACCATAGTGTGTAAAGCACAAGGAGAGTGGAATGGCATTCTGGAATTCACATATAGCAATGGTGAAACCAAAGTAATTGATACCACCAAATTACCCATAATCCGGAAGAAGATCAGACCAATATCAAAACAAGGCCCCTTTGAATCAAGGTGGAACTATTTTAGTGAAATCTCATCAAATTGTATTTAATTGTATTTAAGGCAACTAGTGATCAAAAAGTGGGTTCCTTTGTTTTGCCAGATATACACAATTGCTGCATGCTGAATAGTATTGAGAATCATCCATGCTTTAAGCCAAAATGGCTCAATGTTACTTTCCTGTGGATTTTTTTATGAGTAAGGGCAACTCATAAGGAATTAAAAAAATGCATAAGAGCATGCTGAACTAATTGTAGGTGAATTGAAAATATTTTTTATTAATTGCTATGGAATAAATTGAGCCATATCAAAGTATCAAAAGATTGTATGAAATTTCCAGAGGGAACAGAATTATGACAGTTCTAAATAAAACAGTTAATAAGGGAAAACATTTAGCCTTTTCTAATTGTATGTTTTCAATATAAGTATTGTTCATGATTTATACAGTTTATTAATTTCCTGTAGTTCATTTTAATCACCAATGTACAGAATAGTTTGTGAATGTTCAGATTTAGCAAGCAGATATAAGACTTTATGTATTCTTACATTCATGTTCTCTATTTTTATTAGGTGCTCTAGATGGTAAAGCTGAGGGCTATATCTTATTTGATTCTCAAAAAAACTTTTGAAAAAAGAAATAGTTCTGGAAAATGTTGTAGAAGTCTCTTGAGTTAGTATCTACTCTTAAATATTTTGGTTTAAAGAAAAGAAAAGGGGCTTTTTAAATTAAATTAACTAAATGCTTTTGTTTTCCATTATTAGCTGCTTAGATACTTATGTAAAATAGCCTGGCATATATACCTCCTAAATAAGTAAATAAAAATTGTGATAAGCAGAAGTCCAACCATATAAAATTTGATTTTTTTTTACAAAGTTGTTGGAGTGCTGTGCTTAGTTGAACTTTTCTGAAAAAGTGTTTCCACACTGGCAGTTTTGGCTTTATCCTATCTCCTCAGGGCTTCAGTGGACTTTGTCAACAAGTTTCCTTCCATACAAATCAACAGGCAAGATTATAGCTCTTTTACAACAGGTTTGCTTTCAAATCAAGCCTTCTCCTTCTTTCTCTATCTAAGGCATTTATGGCAACATGTCACTGCTGCCCTGAGGGAAGGTGACATTGATGCAGCAACAGAACATAAGCACGTCCTTGAGGAGAGGCAACGAAAAGAGGAGAGGCAACGAGCAACAACCAACACACTTTGGAAACCAAAATATTTTATCAAAGAGGTAATGGGAAAGATAATAGGCAACAGAAATGTTCAGTCATTGCATCTGAATATCTTTATGACATTTCAGCTTTGAGTTTTGAAGGTCTTTTGTAATTATACAACTGTTTAGAGTAACCTGTTTGGATATGAGGGTAATATGGACAAATATTAATTAACTTCATCTTATTTTGTACGTCTTTTCTTTGTGGGCTTCTTTGCAATTCCTTCTCCAATTTTTTTATATTTTTCTTCTAAAGTCTTTTGTGTCTGCCTCTTTTTTCTATTTCTCTTTCCCACATATGTTATAGTTAGTACATTTTGTAATGAAGTCTTTTCTCTTTTGTTTTCATTTAAGAAAAATTTCAACTCTTTTTCCATATATCTTATAAATTCTTTTTCAATATTAGGTTATTCATTGTCCACCTTGACCTCTTTTGTTGTCCCTTTCATATTACTTTTATCGGACTGTGGTCTGGCCAGATATTTGTTTCAATACTTATTTCTTGTATATTAATAATGAAATCTGTAGATGCCTGCACCATATCAATCCTAGACCAAGACAGATATATATTTGAATAAAATGTATATTGATTGTTTTTTGGGTGTATTTCTCACCATGTGTCTTGGATTGCTAATTCCTCCATCATCTTGAAGAAACATCTTGGTAGTGTTTTCATGGTTTTTTTGTTCATTTTTTGTGTTTTATAGTCCATTTCCACATCGACTGTTGCATTGTAATCTCCCAAAATACATATACTTTCATCCTCAAATTCCATTATTTTCTTGTGTAGTTTATCATAAAATTCTTCTTGATTTTCATTTGGTGCGTATATTGCCACTAGTAGTGTCTGCTTACAATTCATCATCATTTCCACCATTGTTCTGACTCAGCCAGGTTCCCAGAAAGCAAACACAAACTCAGTAACTCAAACCTTCACAGCTTTAATCCACAAATAAACTTCTTTGTAGATTTGTAGATTGAAACAGAGATGGCGGCAAAAGTAGCAGCAGCTTGAGGAGCTCCAGCGGGCATGGGCAGCACCAGGCGACAAGCTTTCTAATCCCTGCAGGTCCAGCCAGCAAGGTGGAAAGCCTAGCGCCCGAGACTTGCCAGCAAGCCAGAAGGAAGCTCCATTCCTCAGTAAATGCTCAATTCAAAAGTACTCGGCTATTTCCAATTCTTCCCATCCATGACCAGCATGCTAGAGGAAAGCTAAATCCTCAGAAAGTGCTAAATTCAAAAGCAGTCTATTCAAAAGTGCTCAACGATCTGCGATTCGACCCATCCTTGCTAGAAGGTAAGGTGGTGGGGCTCGCCAGTGCCGGGGGCTCTACAGTCATCCTTGCAGGGCAGTGAGACGGTGAGATACATCCCATCCTTGCAGGGCAGTGAGCACTGAGAGCTGTGAGTCGGTCTTCAGACGTTTGCAGCCAGGTGTGAAGCAGACTGCTTCCCCCCCACTGCCCCTCCTTCCCTCTTCACCAAATTGCTATTCTGGACACCATCTTTAAAAGGACAGTAACTTTGGACTTCCAATAAGTAGGGAAGTATTATTATAACTGAACTCCTGCGAAGATTGGAACCAATTTTATTTCCTGTGATAGAAACAGAAGTATATTGAAGCCAGGAGTGAATGCTCAATACAAATCTGAGTCTACATAGTAAAAATATAAACTGTTCAAATTTCCAGTACAAGACTATCTAAGTGCCTCTTTCTTTTAAAAGCAACAAACTTTGAAAGTGTATTTAGTTAACTAGGAGGTGCCCAGAAATCCTATTCATCAAAGGAAAATGAAAACAAAAAGTTTCCTGTTGCCTCCCTGTGAATTGTTCTGTTTATCTCTGCTGAATCAAAGTCTGCTTGCAAAAGGGAGAGAAGAATAGTTGGTTTCCTCTGTTCTTCAACAGGAAGTAACCAATTAAAAAAATATCTTGCATTCCTTCGCCTCCATTGAAACAACCTGCCTGCTAGCTCCGAAGTCATTAATCTTTGAGAGGAAGAAACTGGCTGTGATTCACCCCTTTTTGATGACAAAATGCAAATCCAGCAAACACTTTAAATCAGCCATCTCCATAGGCTGTGTTTTCCGCCCCCTAAAGAGAGAATTTAAACATTCAACCAGCGATTTTTAAAAAAGCATTTTCTAATTCTACCTCCATACCTATATCAATGATTAGATAATCAATTTACAAAAATAATTAATTTATCAATTGTTTAATTGATTTATTGTTTTAATTGATCAGTGTGATTAGAGTGTTTAATGCAAATAGTGTGATTACTGATTAATGTAAAAAAATCAGGGTTAATGTAATTTAATTGATTAGTAAAATTAGTGATTCGGTGAATTTAATTGAACAGTGTATTTAACAATTAGTGTAATTAATTAATTAGGCTGATTATTGCTTAGCATAATTACTTGACTAGAGAGATTATTATAATTGATTAATTGGTGTGATATTGGCTATATGGATTACCCAAAATTGTTTTATTAAGCAATTTAATCAACATACTATCTCAACAAACCCACCATGCCAGTAAAAAAATCCAATACCAAATCATAACCTAAAGAAAAAAAAATCCCCACCAATGAACCACAAGACTCCTGCACATGCTTTATATGCTTTGTAACTCTAAAGGTTAATGAAAATTCCATCAAATGTTCTCTATGTGAAAAATATGCTCATCATGACTGCCTGGAATTACTCAAGCAAATGACTCAATTCCTAGAAACATCCAATTATGCATTTCCATTTTTCTGCCCACCATGCAAACCCAAACTGGACAAACTTATAGCCCCGTTTGAAAGAGTTGACTCCATAGAAACGTGAATATCATCCCTTGACACCATAGTAGCATCCCTGAATACTTTAAATGAAAGATTAACTAACCTTGGGAAAAAAAAGACAAACACACAAACCTGAACATCCAATAGCTACAAACCAACAACTGCAACCTAATCCACAAAAAAACATAAATTCAACAAATAACGATATCCCAATCCTAGTCAGAGAAGCTGTTGAACGCGAACGAAAGCATCTCAATGCCATCTTATTTGGTCTAGAGGACATCAATAACGATGATATCACAATTGTCCACAACATCATTAGTGACTATCAGGCATCAACCATCTCCCCTGATGAAATACTTGACATTTCCCGCATTGGCCGAGAGCTCAAAAACAGATGGCTCTGTGGCCCCACATTTCTGCAGGGTCATTTGCAAAAATGAATTAAGCAAATGTAAATTCATTTATACTATAAATTCACTCACCAAAAACAACACCAACCATAAAAGCCTCTGATCTCATCCTGACCTAACCTTACACCAATGTGCCCGCTCCTGTATACTACGCACAAAACACAAAAATCGTCTAGACAATGGAGAGAAGGACCTGTACATTGATTACCATGTAGACAGTATCAAAAGAAAGTCACACAACCCACAAGTCAGTATCCAACCTTACTTCAACCAATCCACCATCACCCAAGACTAGGCATGCATACCCCCAAACTACCTCAATTCAAACTACAGCTGGCCTTAAATGCAATCTACTCAGTGCAACAAGCCTTGTAAATAAAATACCCAAATTTCTCCTCTTACTAAATATGGCTAAATTCGATGACATATTTGTCTGTGAAACATGGCTCAACGCATCTCTCCCTGACTCCATTAATGTCAGCCTCAAGATCTCTTCGGGTACCCAAACAACTATCCTTTATTTCTCCCTTAGTATCTCTACTG